TGAGAAACCAAGTGACTCACAAGAAAAACTTTTGTATACTCAATCAAATACACGAGGCAGAGGCCGAGGCCGTGGAGGAAGAGGAAACAGAGGACGAGGCAGAGGCAGAGGAAATCAAGAACAAAATTTCCCTAGTAACCAAACCGATCAGGATCATAATAAGGATAAAAAGGATAAATCAAAGTTGATTTGCTATCGGTGTGACAAACCGGGACATTATGCCTCTGTATGCCCTGAGAGAAAACAAAATAATCAAGAAGCAAACAAAGTAGAGACTATAGAAGCAGACGGAGCTCTCTACATGCATGAGATTGTTTTTCTCAATGAAGAAAACTTAATACCAAGAAAATATGAGAAAGAGAAGAAAGAAGAAGGGACATGGTACTTAGACAATGGTGCAAGTAACCATATGACAGGAGTAAAATCTTTCTTTTCAGAGTTAAATGAGAATATCAGAGGCAAGGTGAAATTTGGAGATGGATCGTGTGTAGACATAGGTGGTAAAGGATCAATACTATTCGAAGGAAAGACTGGAGAACAATCTCTGTTGCCGGATGTTTACTTTATCCCTGAGCTAAAAAGTAATATCCTCAGTCTAGGACAAGCAACCGAGCATGGTTGTGACATTAGAATGAGACAAAACTATCTCACACTACATGACCCACATGGAAGACTTTTGATAAGAGTACTAAGGTCTCCTAATAGGTTATACAAGATCAAACTCACCATTGGTAAACCAGCCTGTTTACACTCAAGTATTGATGATGAAACATGGAAATGGCATGCGAGACTTGGTCATATCAGTTTTAAAACACTTCAGGCTATGTCAACAAAAGAGATGGTTCATGGCCTACCAAGAATCAATAAGGAAAATCAACTCTGCGAGTCATGTCTAGTTGGTAAGCAAACTCGCCAAGCCTTTCCTAAAGCATCCTCCTACAGAGCATCACAAGCATTAGAACTCATTCATGCTGACCTTTGTGGACCAATCTCCCCGGCTACACTGGCTCACAATAGGTATGTGTTTGTGATTATTGATGACTATACAAGGTATATGTGGTCTATCCTATTGAAAGAAAAGAGTGAATCTTTCGAAAAATTCAAAACATTCAAGACTCTGGTGGAGAAAGAATGCAATAAAGGGATTGTTACTTTGCGTACGGATAGAGGTGGAGAATTTACCTCTAGAGAATTCCAAGAATTCTGCGAGAAAAATGGGATCAAGAGACAACTCACAGCTCCCTATACCCCGCAGCAAAATGGTGTAGTTGAAAGAAGGAATCGTACGTTAATGGAGATGACAAGAAGTATTCTTAAAGCCATGAAAGTACCTAATTTTCTATGGGGTGAAGCAGTGAGACACTCAACATATTTGATCAACAGAGTTCCTACAAGAGCTTTAAAGGATCAAACACCCTATGAGTGTTTAAGAGATAAGAAGCCACACATAGATCACATTAAAGTTTTTGGCTGCCTTGCATACGCAAAAACAGAGCCAGTTCAGTTGAAGAAACTTGATGACAGGTCTCAAACATTAGTTCATCTTGGTATAGAGCCTGGTACTAAGGCATATAGACTATATAACCCTACAACCAGACGGGTTGTTGTTAGCCGTGATGTTGTGTTCAACGAGAAACAGGGCTGGATTTGGAAGGGAGCTAATGAGGACTTAGACAAATCACCAGGTATGTTCCATATGACTTGGGGAGGAGTTATAGATGAAGGACAGGGACCATATGTTAGTAATAACACAGAACCTGACTCAGAAAACAATGGTCCAGAAGAAAACAATACTGAAGAAACAGAGAGTGATCACACAGATCATTCAAGCGAAGATAATAATAATGAGGTCACAGAAACTCAACCAATACTTCGAAGATCAGGAAGAGAAGTAAAACGTCCAAAATATCTAGAAGATTATGCACTCTTTATGGATATTGAGTGCGAGAAACTTTTACTATCCATCAATGATAAACCAGAAAATTTTCAAGAAGCAAAGGAGTTGATTGAATGGGTTAAAGCATGTGAAGAAGAAATCAATTCAATTAACAAGAACAAGACTTGGAATTTAATGGAAAAGCCAAAAGGAGTAAAAGTTATAGGTCTGAGATGGGTTTTTAAGATCAAAAGGAATGCAGATGGATCTATAAACAAATTCAAAGCCAGATTGGTTGCAAAAGGATATGCACAACAATCCGGAATTGATTTCGATGAAGTCTTTGCTCCAGTAGCTAGGCTCGAAACTATAAGATTGTTAGTAGGAGTTGCTGCATCAAACAGTTGGGAAATCCACCATCTCGACGTTAAAACCGCGTTTTTACACGGAGAACTCAAAGAAGACGTATACGTGACTCAACCGGAGGGTTTTGAAAAGAAGGGAGAAGAACATAAAGTTTTCAAACTCTCTAAGGCTTTGTACGGTTTGCGTCAAGCCCCACGTGCATGGAACACGAAGTTAGATCAGATCTTAAAGGGTTTGAAATTTCTGAAATGTTCTAAAGAAAATGCAGTGTATCGTAAGTCAGAAGGTACAAAGCTACTTCTCGTTGCAGTATATGTTGACGATCTATTTGTAACAGGGAATTCACTAGGATTGATACAAGAGTGCAAACAAGGAATGTCTTCTAAGTTTGAGATGACAGACCTAGGTAAACTCACCTATTACCTTGGCATTGAGGTAAGACAGAGTAAAGATGGTATTGAACTAAAGCAGGAAGCATATGCACGAAGAATCTTAAAGGAAGCTGGCTTAGATAATTGTAATCCATCTCACATTCCAATGGAGTTTGGTCTGAAATTGTCTAAAGCTCAAGAAGAAAAAACAGAAGCTGATGCTACTATGTATCGTCGAAGGATAGGCTGCTTGAGGTATCTCTTGCATACAAGGCCAGACCTTGCTTTCTCAGTCGGAGTTGTAAGCAGGTATATGCAGGATCCAAAAGAATCTCATGGCAATGCATTGAAACAAATCCTGAGATATTTACAAGGTACCTTAGCGCATGGTTTGATTTTTAAGAAAGGTGGGACTAAGAAGATTATAGGATACAGTGACAGTAGCCATAATGTGGATCCCGATGATGGGAGAAGCACAACTGGTCATGTTTTCTATTATGGAGAGTCGCCTATCACGTGGTGTTCACAGAAGCAACCAACAGTTGCTTTATCATCTTGTGAAGCAGAATTTATGGCCGCAACAGAGGCTGCCAAGCAAGCATTGTGGTTACAAGAACTGCTCAGCGAGATAACAGGACAAAGCTTTGTAAAGACGTTTCTTTACATTGACAACAAGTCAGCAATAGAGCTCACTAAGAACCCTGTGTTTCACGGAAGAAGTAAGCACATTCACAAACGTTATCACTTCATCAGAGAATGCGTTGAAAACGAGCAAATTGAAGTAGATTTTGTTCCCGGAGAAGAGCAACGAGCAGACATCCTAACAAAGGCCCTAGCAAGAACCAAGTTCAAAGAAATGAGAAGTGTGATCGGTGTTGAAGACCTCTCAAAGAATGACTTGAAGTTTAAGGGGGTAAATGTTGGGTAAACATTCAAGTTTCTTTAGGCCCAAGATATTTCTATAAGGAGGTTAGAAATAAGATAGGTCTAGAAACTTCTTTAGGATTAAAGAGTTATCTTATCCTAATGTTAACTAGAGTTAACAAGATATGTAACTAGGGTTAATGAGTTGTGTTATCCCTATAAATACATCTCTAGGGTTGAGATGTAACCCTAAGAGTTTTGAGAGAACATTGAGAGCTTGTGTTTAGTTTTTGAGAGAGTTTTACTAAACATCAATAAAGAAGAGTGATTTCTTTAAAGGTCTTTGTTCTAGAAAACTATATTAATCGCTATAGCCTGCTTCTTGAATATTTTGTTGCATATTTTGTTGAAAGAATCGAAAGTCATATAATAAGAAAAAGTATATATTTGCCCCAAGGAAAAAAAAGTCTAAAGATCCGTTCGTTTTACATGCTGCATCCAAATTTGATTAATGTAATTTTTTGAACAGTACCATAATGTGGAAGGACTTTAAGACCATTGTAGCATGGTATATATTGTTTCTTGCAACAATCAAAGTCTTCAGAAATATGACATTTCATTAATCAAATATTTTCTCCCTCATGAATGATGTTTCACGTTTGTAAACTAATAAGTAGAAGTCTAAGACCACATGCATTTTTATGATCGACATCCAAATAACTTTTGCTTTTTAACTAGTTTTTGCATTTGATGTAAATTTGTATACTGGTTACTCTGCAAAAATATATGTGTACATCAAAATTACGTTCATAGTTTCTTGCAGCGGCTATTATCTCGTCAGCATGGAATAATTGCTTAATGCATACCCTCTCAAATGTTATCTATGTTGCATATTTTATTGAAAGAAAGACATAATAAGAAAATAAAAAATAGATGTCTAAAGGTCATTGAAAATTGTAATATGCCACTAGAGATTATTGATCAAATTAATTTAAGATTTAAACATGTAGAATTTTTACTTTTGCAATGAAATAATCATCAAATTTACTTTTCAAACAAATATTAATTAAATTTAGTTCTTATTACAAAAATTTGATATATTTTTATATATAAATAGAAAGAATAACAAAAACAAATACATAAACTTATATTCTCAGTTTGAGAACCTTAATACGGTTATACACACACACACATATATATCTTTTCAAGGGAAAATTTCACAATTTCATGAATCCGAACCTTTGCTTAAATAACGTGGTACACTAATTCTATAGTCAAATATGATAAAAAAAAATGCGGTTCCAAATATACAAACTCCGATAGGAACACAGCCTAAGTTGCCAAAGGAACCATCAAATATCTGTGTTGTTTTTGGGGATTTAAAACCCTTAACGCTTTAGTAAAAAGTCTAATTATGAAGATAGTAAGAGCTACCATCATTGTGAAAGAGAGCGAGAGAGGCTTAGAGTTTATCATTAAATCAGCTAAGTGTGGGATTTAAATGGATAGTCGTATAGATATTCTAGTAATCTCAGCTCTTATTTAATAAATATTGATACACATAACACATCCTTCATATGATGCTCCTTATTGAAATATATATTCACGTCCTTTGTGCAGGTCCGTGTTTGATATATGTGTGTATATGTAACATAATCACACATTAGTAAGGCTTCTGGTTCGCATAGTTCCCCCGAGGATTATAATTGCAACTAATGATGGTTCCACCATTGTTACACCTCACTTTGGCACATCCGAGTCTCACTGAATTTCTCCAAACAACCTGAGTGTAGTGACCGCAAACCCCGTTGCACGTGTTTGAATTGTAGTTGTAGTTAGCCTTCTCGTTAACCCACAAGTTCACAGCAGCGACGCCAGAAAAGTCACCGCTACTACCGGCCAAGTTCTCCCCGTAAGGCCCACCGGAATGTACGAGTCTGCAGTCGCCTTTTAGGTTCTCTGCGTAGCTCCGAGCGTAGGCTGCAACCCCCTCGTCCCACTGTATGGGGCCTACTCCTACCTGCGACCGTGCCTGGTTGTGAGCATTTACATAGTCTTGCTGGCTGTCTTGAGCCTTCGTGGGAACAACAAGAGAACCTACAAGGGCAGCCAAGATTATTAGAATGCGAGAATAGCTAGTGACTTTCATTTTTCTTAGTTGAAATAATGGCTATTTCCAAGCTTTGTTGTGTTATGTTTTTGGGGTTCGTAAACATGGTTTATATAGAGATTTGAAAACTATCTTAGGTTTTGTGTGGCCATAAACCTTCACCTTTTGAGATGAGACAAAACAAACCACAACATTTAATACGGTAACTAGTTAGCGTAGATAGCTCATATAACACCATAACCCATAAGTATAAACTTGTTCTCCCACCTCCATATAGAAACAACTTTTTTTTTTTTTGAGAATGTAAAATTATATTCAAACAAAAAAAGATTTTGTTACAAAAAATGCTTCATAGAGAATTCAGTTTTAGAGATGATGATTTGAAATCAAACACAAAAGATTATGGATGAATTGGAACCAGAGTTGGATTCAAACCCATTTTGGTGTCGGAAAAAGATGAGCTTATTCCGGAGTGTTTATCAATGAAACGACTGGAATTTGTAGCCGAGATTGCTGGTTCGCCATGACGCTGACCGTTTCGTTCCCTCCAAAAACTATGAATTATAGCTTGTCATATAAAAACAACTTTTTCAAAGAAACATCAGGAAATACAAAAATATATAATCAAGTTTAACAAATTTAAACCACGATTCTTTAAACTTATCAAAAACTTTACTTTTGGATCAATTCAGCAAGAGAAATTCAACTAAAACCAAACCAAAGTTTTATATTTTCGAATTTAACCGACCCAAAGTTCAAAAAATTGTGAACAGACCAAGGCCGAATTGCCCGGATGCCCAACATTATATAATCTCTTCAATTTAATACATAATCTGAACCAAAGTCCCCAAAAATAATTTTTCAGCCTAAACTAGAAGAAATACTCATTATCCCAAAACTTGACTGAAATTTTTAATATCATCTGAACTTTTTTACTCAACAAACCGAAACCAAACCCAAATTTTCTGATAAATCCGGATAAAAATTTATTGATAATGAATATTTTCAAGTAAATATAAAAAATATACTTTAAAATGAGTAAAAAAATTCAACGGATAAAGATTGTTTTCAACTACAACAAATTGTGCGGTGCGTTTTTATACCTAACTGTTTTTTGCTAAATATACCTAACTGTTGTTTTCTAGATCAACGTCTAAAATATTCAAAAGAATTACCTAGACTCTTTAATTTGTATCTACAACAAAGTTGACTTAAATATGAGTTAGTCAACTACTGACTCAGCTGAAACGTTACGTTGGCAATTACATGTTATTTTTAAAAATAAAACGATGTTGTTTTGCTTGTGTGAGCCCAGACGCTCTAAACGACGTTGCTTTGAATCGTTTTCAAGCTAAACTATAATTAATAACGATTTTTATAATTAAAAATGTGAAAATATTAGATTTTAACAGATATTTTTACAAAAAAAAACAAAATTTTTATATTTCATCTCCATCTCCGAAATTACATCTTTCTATCAAACCTCCATTTCTTTCTTGTAGTTGAATTTGGTTTTAAAAACTTTTCTGATTTTATGATTAGGACTCTGATTTTTCTAAACGAATTTCTTCAAATTAGCATATTTCACGAGCAGGGATGCTCCATATTTTGTGAACATAGATTTAGCTAACCAGACTCACTTGTGTAATATTAAGATTTTTTTGAGAATCTATCCAAACAAATATGACAGGAGAAATATAATTAGGATTTTTCATGCTATGAATTGATTTTACATTTTTTTAGTTAGAAAAATCATTAATATGTTTAGTTTTAAAACAACTCAAAACAATGTCGGTTTGAGTTTAGGGACCCGAAAATAAGCCCCTACTTTTCTTAAAAATGCTTTAAGAACCTATTTTTTTATTATTATTAAATGTTAAATTTATTGATAGAATTAAAATGTGATTATGTACATGAAATTAAAACCAAAGTAAAAGAGCCAACATGAGCAGCAGTTACCGAATTTCTCTTGCTAGAAACCATCTTTGGAGAAGGTTTCTCAACTTAGGAGAATCTTTCAGGTAAATCTTCAGTTATCTTTATCTAAGTCCGAAAACTTGAATAAATTCTGATCCTAAATAAGATTCAACTATAGTTCTAACTCAGTTTGACACGACACATACAAAATAAAACTGAATGCACAAGCCTAAAATATTCGGTAATTTACACAACATGATATATAATGTAAACGAAAGTATTTAAATTGATTATAATACTAGTAATTGTGTAAATTAAAATGATTATAGTTTAGTTTTATCAGATCCATGAAAAATAAGAAATTCTGTTATAAAAATGATTCATTAGTTTTAGGTTCTGAAATAAACCGAAACGCTGACCGCATTAAACCATGATGATTTTTTTCACCGTATCAACCAAATTGGCCAAACTTTTGGCTCACTTCAGTTTTGCTAATTTTGTTTAAAATTTATACTTAACCCTAAGATTATACGTACGTGAATATATTGTTTTTTTTTTCATATTATTAAGTGATTATCTATGTGGTGTTGGAGTATATAATGAAAACAATTAAAAATCATGAGCACCCTAAAAAGTCTTTCCATCTTTGGTTTTTATATGTTTTAACAAAATATATCATATCTTTTACGTTCTTTAATGTTTGTAGTTTATTTTTATTTCTTCGCAAAAGGTGAGGATTTTCAAACCCATAAAAAAATAAGTTCTTAAAAGTGGGGCCTTTCTTTCTTTACTCATTTTTAGTCTCCATTGTGCTATAAAACTTTCTAGCTACACTACTCAAATATGTATTGATATTGCATGTGGACATATTCAAAACCCCATTGGGAAACTACATGACTAAATCTATCGTATCATTTGTGTTTTTGTGAGAAGAGATATAGGCGATTATAAAAAAAACGAAAGAGAGTTTTAAAGTGAAATGTAATGAAAATAGTGTTTCATGCATGTATATATTTCCTACTGTCTTGTTTATGTTTGATTTAAATATATATATATATATATATATATATATATATATATATATATATATATATATATGCCGTCACATTTGTAAGAAAACTAGTAACATGGAAAATGTCAGACATATTTATCGACAAGATAGCAACATGAAGAGTGGAAAATAAAAAGATAGCAACACGAAGCCTTCCTTAATAATTTATCAAAAAAAAAAAAAAAAAAAAGAGAAAATCGTAAATCCATGAAGGAAAAAAACAAATCTATCTTGACTTGTTAACTAGAAAAGTCTTTGAGACCAATAATTCCATATTTATCATTACTTGCTTCTTGCAGCTGTTATGGAATAATTAAAGCTGCTTCTTGATTGATACTCCCTCCGTTTCGTTTTAGTTGTCGTTTAAGGTTTTCGCACACAAATTAAGAAAATCATTAAATTTTCTGTTTTACCCTTTATTAATATATTTTATAATTTTTTCATTGGTCAAAACATTAAAACATTAAAGACAAAACATAAATTTTTACCAAACATTTGCATTGAAAACCTAAAACGACAACTATTATGAAACAAAATTTTAATCCTAAAACGACAACTAAACTGAAACGGAGGGAGTATTGGTTAAATTAGGAAAATATGACATATTCCATAATTATATAAAAAATGAATGGCGGCAAAGTGAGTATTCTAGTTTTTCTTTTTGGTCATCAAATATCTTACAGTTTATTCAAAAAATTTTAGTCCTAATGTAATTGTACAACAATAATTAGGTGTTACATTTTGTAAATGTTTACAAAATTAAGATTATCTTGTCAATTATTAAAAAAAAAAAAAAATAGTCATGAAGAATAGAAAGTCTTTTAATGTTTCTTGTATGTATCTCTCCCACTTGGTTTACATATGACGTCATGTCTAAGACGTAAGCCGAAACAGTAACATCGGATACAATCAGACTTCAGACACATTCATATATATGGCCAGAGATGACCTGACCATTATCCATGAGACAATAAAACAAAGCCGTCTTGACTTGTTAAGTAAAAAAAGTCTTTTAAAGACCGATAATTCCATGGTTATCATTACTTGCTTCTTGCAGCGGTTATGAAATAATCAAAACTACTTCTTGAATGAGGTTGGTTAAATTACGCAAATATGACATACCAAAAAAACATATTGAATGGCGACTAACATATATAAGTCTAAGAGCTCCTTCGGTTCAAAATTTAGAAAACCATAGAAATCATCTATATTCAACATCCAATGTTGTTTAAGACTTTAAATTCGTTTTAGCATATGACTGTAATTTTCTTTGTATTTGAGTTTGTAGAAAAATACAAGTACTATATATACCAAAACGGCTTAACAAGGTTTCTTTTTTTTTTTTTTTGAAAATCATGTAAATTATCATTAAGGAATGAAGGAGTTTGTAACAAGTTACAAAAAAATGGCTTAACCAGCCAAGAGGAGAAACCTTGCCAAAAAGGAATTAAAAACAAGGATATATTTTGCATGTCAGAGTAGGAATTAGCATTGCATGTCAGAGTAGGAATTAGCAAGCAAAAGCTGCATTAATTAGGAAAATCCTAACAAGGTATTTCTTACGTTCATGATTTCTTGCACGACTATGATCTCGTCAAATATGGAATTATCACAACGCCTGCTTCTTGAATATGGCTGCCTTAGGTCCTCTCAAATCTTATCTATCTTCTATTGGAGGAAATGGAACTATGATTAATTTTTCAGAGTATTCCCTGGAATTGCTTCTTATTGGTGTTGTGATTTTGTCATTGTTGAACTACTTTTCATGTTTTTTTTTTTAATACGTAATTAAATTTAAATGAAGTGAAAAACAAGAAAGAAAACTTTTTGTTTTTGATTCAATTGTTTTTTTTTTTTTCGATAACTCAGGGTAAATCTCTAGGCTGGAGGAATGCAAGATTAATCTATGGAAAGTAGATGTCCCACGGGTAGAGTCCCTCCAGGTTTTCAGATAAGCAATTATGCGTCTCGGGAAATCGATCCATGGTCAACATGAAGACTCTTTCACCAGATTAGAACAATTAGCTCACCATCTATGGTTAATTGTTTCTTTTGTTAGTTTTTATATTTCAAAATTTTGAATATTTTTAGTGTTTTTTGGTCATCAAATATCTTATAATTTATTCAACTTTTTTTTTCTCCTAATGTAATTATACAAAATAGGTTAGACGGTACGTTTTTTAAATGTGAACAGAATTAAGATTACATTTAATCAATTCTTTTTAAGAAATTAACATGTGAGAAGTCATGAAGAATATACAGTCTTTCAATGTTTCATGCACGTATCTATCCCACTTGCTTTATATATGACGCCACGTCTATGACGTAGGCCAAAACAGTAACATCGGATACTACCAGACACACAATCATATGTCCGAAGACGAACGACGATTATCGACCTTTCTTAAACTGGTCCCAAGCCGCAAAATATCGAGATTTTCCATTTTCTCAATCCGGCTTAACAGTCCATTCGACCTGACCAGAAATTGATTTCAGACACTCAAAATTGTTTCCAACAACACTTAGACAAATATCAATTCCTTTACTAATAAGTAAGGCAATACAAGGTTTCAAACCAAAAAAAAAAAAAAAAAAGGTTTCAAACCAAATAAATGGTACACGAAGAAGAGTTAATAACCAATGGTGTGATTTGTTTTACATTTGCAGGATAAGATAATAGGGAGGAGGGAAGACAATCATACGTTATATCCATCTTAAAAAAAAAAAAACGTTAGATCCATCTTTCTGTATATTTAACGGGTAAAAGTGACAAAACATTGAACTAAAAAATACATGAAAAAGATAATCTGCGTAATAAAGCGAGCGTTGGCACGTAAATCGGTGTTCAAAAATTTGGTTCTTTGGATAAATTTATTTCCGATTTAAAGTGTTATTATTTACTTCTTCTGTTCCTTACTAATTCAAAATCTAGAAAAAAAAATTGTTAGAAAAATAATGTTTTTAGGTTTCTATGCCTTTTTTATTTGTTATTTATTTTGATTTTCGAACAGCGCCAAAAAATTGGGTTTCTTTAGCTCTCCGAACTTGAAAAAACACTCCTAAGATTGTGATTAAGATGAAATATGAAAAAATTTTGTGTGACTAATATTGATATATATCTACTATACATTTTTGGAGCAGTTTTAAGGGATCCTAATCGGGTCGGATTTTGTTTCAATTTTGACCCGGAAATCTTCAATCGGATCTTCCCTTAAATGTTGGCAAAATTTAAAAACGAAATTATTTAATAAAATCTAAAAAATATATATATTCTCAACTAATTACTATACATGAACTCTTTATTTATGGCATATTCTCTACGATTTTTATAGTAAGGAAATCAAATATGATGATTTAATGTTAATATAACAAATTTGAGCTAATTTCCTAAAACCTCTATACCTAATTTAAACATAAATATATGATTCTCACTTCACTTTTATATGATCTTATATTTATATTATTTTAAACTATTATAATATATATATATATATAGTTAATAAAATTTTTGATTTTTTCTACATATGTTATGATTTAAAGTTTTTAAAACGGACATACATTACTCAATCGGCTCCTCCGCCGCCTCCAAAAGCCAGAGTGATAGTGGATCCAAAGTACTGCTCTTCGGACCCTGTAGATTTGGCGATCGTACGGAAGATAATGAAGATAACGGACGGTCACTTCGTGATAAAGAATGGGGACGGAAACATGTTGTTCAAGGTGAAGGATCTTTTCTTTAGTATTCACGAGAAGAGGATCTTGGTGGATGGTTATGGAACTAAGGTCTTGACTTTGAGAGGGAAGGTACAAATTAATTAAAAACAAAGCACATAACATGATATATACAATTAATAATAGAGCTAGATTTATTAATATTAAGATTTGGTGATTGTAGATAATGACCATGCATGATAGGTGGCAAGTGTTTAGAGGAGAGTGATCTGCTATACACTGTGAAAAGATCAAACATGATTCAGCTAAAGACCAAACTTGATGTATTTTTGGCTGACAACATAGAGGAGAAGAAATGTGATTATAGAGTCGAAGGTGTTTGGCTCGACAGTTCTTATGTTGTCTACGCCGGCGATTCTGACATCATTGTTGCCCAAGTAAACAAACTCTATATCCTTCCTTTTAGCTTTAATAAGTCCTATGTGTCTCACTTTGGGTTTAGAAGATGGTATATTACGTAAATGGATAGGTTAGGTTTATATATATCATATATTTTCTATTATATCGAATTAAGTTTTTTTAATGATACATTTTTCTTACTACAAGTCTAACAGTATATTATAACTATTTTCAAATTGAAAAGAAGTTTTTTTTGATGAGATATAAATAAAATATGAAAAGAAAACATAAGATATGTATATATATAAGGAAAATATTAAAAAAATGAAATAATTGTAATGTTAAGTTTGAGACAATAAAACAAAATAGATGATTATCAGTTACCAATTATACCAAAGATATAACGTTACAAAATGTTACATAGAATTTTTTTATTTATTTATGATGTGGACTGGGTTTAAGTGATGAGTAGGTGATTCGTGCCACGGCTTCTTTCTATATTGAACATATAAATCTGTTTTCTATAATTTTATGTTTTGGTATGGTTTAGTTTATTTAGAATAAACTTTTTTCTTTTTTCACATCTAGAAAAACATGTCTATACTATATATACCCATTGATATATATTATTATGAACTGAGAGTTCGCCAATGTTTTATTAATTGTTAAAACTTGAGAAATAAAAACATTTATTTATGATGAAATAAAATGGTATGGTTTGAATGGCAGATTGGCAGATGTGCGAGAAGGGAACGATATCTGGCTTTTTCTTGGGAAAGGACCATTTCTGCGTCACTGTTAATCCAAATGTTGATTATGCCTTCATTGCCTCTCTCATTGTCATCCTTGTAGAAATACAAATAAGTCTTAGAAAATTGGCAACACAAGTCTTGTTTTGCAATTAAGAAGTTGTATTCTTGTTAGTAGGCTACATATTGTATGTTGCGTGTAACATCCGTCCCACCGGATATGATAAGATTGTGTGTTATTTATCTGATCTTGCCACAACGTTTTTTTTTTTAAAATTTATCAATAAATAAATTTCAACCCGCAAATTTTGAAATTTACTAACCTGGAGAAAAAAAAAAGAGAGTGAGTAAAACAAGTTTATCAAAGAGTATATAAGGAAAAAAGCTACTGCATATCTGCAAATATCATCTTCACCTTAGCTTATCGATTGAATTCCTTGGTTTAATACTACCAATAACAAGAACCCGCTTCAACGACGATCTCAATCTGCAACGGTTTAAATTAATCAGTCAAAGATTAAATCCACTTAATAATCTCTGATTTAATCTAATACTCCAAACCAAAATATCTAATAATTTAATAATACCATGCATAAATAATCCAACTTCACAATGTTTCGGTTCAATAATCCCAATTCATCTCAATCGTACAACACCACAATTCCACACGTGACCATGAAATGTTACCACCTTAACATTCGGTTCAGAGATTAAACCAACCCAATCTAATAACTCAGAAGTCTCAACCACGTTCCCACTTAACGCCACATTCACGTAGAAACGATTTCTAGTTTCGATTCTAGTCTTTAGTTACACAGTTCCGGGTTAGATCAGTTTAGGTTTTGGTTCAATAATCAAAAAACACAACATCAACAAAACGAGACAAGGTGCAGCACCGATTACCTTTTCTCGGCGTTTTACTCTCGGCGGATCTCCTCAACGGCTCAACAAGGAGATTCAAACTGACGGTGGTTACTTCTTCATGGCTCAACAATTAAAATCAAAACAAAGCAACAAATTATAAGATAAAGCCAGAAACTTCATGCACAAGTTACATAAATAACTCTAGGGTTTCCTTACCCTTAGCGGCTTAGATGATTGACTACGGATGCTTTGGTGACAGCGGTTAGCTTTCATGATCCGCTTCTTATCCTTCCTCATTTGCTTTCACAGGTGGCTTGCTTCTCGTCACGGTTTGACTACGACGACGCTTCTCTTGGGTCTGCGATCTCAACTCTCTCTCTCCTTAAGCGGCTCAGGTCTAGGTGCCCTTACTCACGAGGTCCCTCTCTGCTCCTCCATGACGCTCACAATGATATCTCACAACAGTGACAACGGCTTAAAGACCGAGATTCACTTGATTGATGAGGGTTGTTTAGGGTTTCACGTTGCTTCTTATTTTCCTATGGAGGCTGACCATACGCACACATAAATATATACACAAGAGACATCGAGGACTGTGGATGTCAGAATCCGCAATTGATTATTTCGTCGATTTTTGCGGGCCTCTAGTCTCGGGCGGTCGAGTATCGATCGTAGAAAACAAGAAAAACTTGGGAAGAGAATGTGTTTGTATTGATTTAGATAGAAATCTTCCGATCCCCTTTACAATGTTATACCGTCCCTATTTATAGTTACAAATTCGGGATCCGGGGTAATAAATTCTTGTCCCTTTTACGTCGCTAATTGCGTCTCTTTTATTACATCCGTTTTGAATCGTTGGGTCAACGGATCCGCAATTAACACCCCTTTGTTACTTCGCGAGATCGCTCTGTTTCTCCGAAGTGAAGATTCGGAATAAGTGGGCCTTCGAATGGGTCTGACCTATGTGCAACTCTGGGTTTTCAAAACGCTAAGGCCCGTTAACTTTGAAGCCCACTAATTCCTCGGATCGGGTATATTACGAGATCCGACACCAACAAGGACGAAAACCCTTTTCGAGCAATTGGGCCTTAAATGAGCTATATAATTTTATCAAAACAATTTGACCCTATAATCAGAGAGCGGGGTGTTACATTGCGCCTAGTCGACTCATGACTTACTTGGTCGGCAAGTCTTGTCTAGGGCTTTGGAGTTAAGTCTTGAGTTGTGTATATGAACGTATTGAATTGAACCTTGCCCAATGGCTTTGCTAATATATATGCCAACTGAGCCGTTGTTGGCACATGAACTGTAGTAATTATGAGATCTCACATACATTTATATAGTGATAACATTAACATAATGTTATCATCTACATAATATAAAATTTCCTAAACAAATAAAGAAATAGCTTGTACAACAAATAATATAGAGGCTTTAAATATTCTTTGGTTTGGGTTTCACGGGCTTTACTTTATAAATGGACTTTAACGGTCCATAGTACTTGGTCTGCAAGATACACATCTTGCTCTCCAAGTTATCTCCAATACTCTCACGCACAACAAAGGTGGGACACGCAACACAAAATATGCAATCGCAAAAAAATACCAATGTCGTGGATATCATGTTGAGGACAATACATGTAAAATGACATTTTTTTAGCATTTTAATAACGCTATCTAACTATACCATAGTGTTTTTACAAGCGCTATCTAACTTGTAGTGGGACAGACAAATCATGTCACCAGACTTTTCAGGGTATAAACTTCAATTTTGAAAAGAGGATGGAACGGCAGCTCGTCTTCGATCTTGGTAAAAGGGCCTAACAACATCTCGTGGACGCAAATCCTGCAACTCTATAGATAATCGTCCTTATCTCGAACAATTCACATATCGGACTAAAAATGTCTTGAAAACATAAGCATTCTAAACAACATCTTCATAATATGAGAAATATAAATTTTTTTCTTGAGATATTTAAGAATAAATCTCATTAAAAAATACTTGTGAAAATCCGGACCCTAAAACTCAATTATCAGAAAGATCTCTAATACATCTTGTCGTAGAAAGCATAATAAAATTTTAGAATTAGTAAAGAACCAAAAGAAAACCCATTAACTTTTAATCAAAACTCAACGTAACCCAAACCCCATTTTTCTTTGCTTCACGTCATCATTCGGATAGCTTCCGTCGGATTCGTCTTCGTCACCGCCATCTTCTCCGACGATCATTGTTTCGTCAGAAAATTATTAATGAGAAGCTTAACATCAATCCAGTAGAATCGAAGGATCTGATACTATGTCAAATAATATATAATATCATAGTTTATTGAGTTCAAGAATATTAATTCTTCGGTTTTAGCTTCACTGACTTTATTTTATAAACGGACTTTAACGGTCCATATTACTTGGTCCACAAGTTAAATATCTTGCTTTCTAAGTTATCTCCAATAGTAATCAAGCCATCTTTATTAGCATCACTATTCAATGACAATCAATTTCTACATACTTCGTAATTTTATGAAAAACAGGATTTACCGTGATGTGAATAGCGGTCTTGCTATCAAAAAACAAATGTATTGGTTTAGGAGGCGGAAAACCCATATCACTTAACAATTGGCGAAGCCATTTGACCTCTCTTGTGGCTTTAGACATTGCCAGATATGATTCTCAAGCGGAAGAAGGTGATACTAGCTACTTCTTACTTTTTGTTTTCCAAGAGATAGGCGACCCCGCCAAGAAGAGTATAATATGGAAGAAGAGATAGACAATCAAAGTAAGAAAGCTAGCTAGGAAATAAAGGAAGAATATAATTTGGTCAAAAATCTTATTAAAATAAAAAGTTCAAGTCTACTTTTTAAATAATTTCTTTTGAAATTCATCACAAGTTATTTTTAGAATAAAATTACTTGTGATTTAATTCAAAAGAAATTATGTAAGTTTATGGTGATCTCTAGTTTTCTGGTAGATCCAAATATCAAATCAAGATCAATGTTGGTTTGTTTGTTAGAATTACACCAATTTACGATACCCTCAAGATAACAAACGTGAAACATCATTTGTGAGGGAGAATTTGTTTTGAACAGTAGCATAATTTAGAAGGACTTGTTAACTAAAAAGACTTTGAGACCATTATTGCATGGTTGTCTCTTGAATAGAGCTTAAGAACTTCTCTCTCAAAAAGAGTCTTCGCTTTTCTTTGAGCAGAGCTTTGTCCGAAGATATTTTCTTTTTCTGTCGGCTTTGTTTCTTCAAATCTGGGTATCCTATCAGTGTTGTTAGTTGGCTCCTGGGTTCATCTTGATCTTATAATTCGGAAGTTAGTCTGTGTTGTGATTTGTTTTGGGTTCTTCGGGTTATTACAAATTGGAAGTTTGGTGAAGTGGTCTGTTTTTACGAGTTGAGTGCTGTGAACATCTTCTTTGGGTATGGAGCTCGATAAAGAAATTGAAAAGATGTCTCTTACTGAAGACACACCGTTGGTATTATCCAATCAAGAGAAGTATAGTTCGACTGAGAGAAACGGGTGTAGTATTTTGGGAAGATTTCTCAATCCTCCTAATCAAAGGATGTCTAATTGGATATTGGACATGCCTAGAATCTGGCGATTGTATTCTCGGGTGCGTGGTGTGGCTTTATCGCAGGAAAAATTTCAGTTTATCTTTAAATCAGAGGATGATTTGAATGAAGTGCTCAAGACGGGAGTATGGACGCAAGATGATTGGTGCGTGGTGATGGATAAATGGGTTGAAAAGCCCCCGGATGATTACTTAATGTTTCTTCCCATTTGGATCCGTCTCCGTAATATTCCGGTGAATTATTATACAGAGGCGACAATTAGGGACATCGCAAAGTGTGTGGGAAAGGTTTTAACAGTTGAGTTGGAGCTGGAAAAGTCTCAATCTCAGGATTATGTTAGGGTTCGTGTTTTATTGGATGTTAGGAACCCTCTGCGCAATTCAAAAGAGGTTCAACTTCCGGATGGTGATCTGGTTTCAATCTCATTTGATTATGAGAGAGTCAGGAAGAGGTGTTTTCTTTGTCAACGACTCACTCATGAAAAGAACATGTGTCCTTTTAACCAAGCTGATTTTGGAAACGCTTCGACAGAGGTAATTTGTAGTTCAGATAAGCAGAAAAGATTAAGCTCCGGTGATGGGAACCAGTTGGTTTCAAAACCTTTGATTCAGAATCTTCCAGCTGGGAAGATGATGGAAGCTGCAGATGTAAACAGTTCTCTGGGTTTGGATAGTTTTGAAGATGAGGCTATGGTTAATGACTCAAGGAAGGTTAATTTGGCACTCTTTTCTTCTTCTGTGTATGAGGCTGGATCTTCTGGATTAAGTGTTAAGCAAAAGAGTCCAAGGAAAAGAAAAGCTGTTGTGATGAAAAAGAATTCAGAGAAAGTGGCAGCCTCTGAAGGTGATGAGGTGAGTTTTAATATCCAATTTGATAAAGTTTTTAAACGCAAAACTCTCCCTTCTGTACCAGAGGAGTCTACTTGTTTGAAGATGGATGACAATACGGTGGTTCATGGTGAACCGCCGTTGGATCAGTAAGGCGTCCTCAGTTGGAATTGCCAAGGACTGAGGAATCCTTGGACAATTCGGCACTTGAAGGAAATGCGCAAAGAACATTTCCCGGACATTTTATTCCTCATGGAGACTATGAATACTGATGATTTTGTTTTAAAAGTGTTTAAGTGGCTAGGTTATGATTATCTACATACCATAGAACCTGAGGGTCACAGTGGTGGATTGGCAATTTTTTGGAAAAACCACTTGGAAGTAGATTTTCTGTGTGAGGATAAGAATCTTTTGGACTTGAAGATTTCTCAAAGGAACAAATCTTGGTTTATCTCTTGTGTATATGGTCAACCAATGATGCATCTTAGGCCTTTGCTTTGGGAAAGACTTAGTAGAATTGGTGTAGATAGAAGAGAAGCTTGGTGTATGATAGGAGATTTTAATGAAATTCTATCTAATCAGGAAAAGTTAGGAGGGCCTGCTAGGTTACTTTCCACTTTTCAGCCTTTTCAAGATATGTTACAAAGCTGTGATATGCATGAATTGGCAAGCTCGGGGAATAGCTTTACTTGGGGTGGCACTCGTAATGATCAATGGATTCAGTGCAAATTAGATAGATGTTTTGGGAATTCCTCTTGGTTTTCTTTATTCCCTAACTCTCATCAATGGTTTCTTGAGAAGTTGGGATCTGATCATAGACCTGTTTTGGTGAAGTTTATTAATGATCAGGAGCTTTTTAGAGGACAGTTTCGATATGATAAGAGAATGGCTGATGATCCAGGTTGTATAGAAGCTATTAATAGATCTTGGTCTCGGGAGTGGGCTAGGGATTCTCATTCTTCTATGTGCAGTCTTGTTGAATGCCGGAAAGGAATCAGTTTGTGGAAGAAAAATGCTGATTTTAATGCTCAGAATCGAATTAAGAGATTGCGTAAGGAATTAGATGATCATAAGAGTGCTCAGTTCCCCTGTTGGGAGAGAGTGGCTTCTATTCAAGAACAATTGGGGATTGCCTTTAGAGAAGAGGAATCATTTTGGAGACAGAAAAGTAGGCATAAATGGTTAGATGGAGGAGATAAGAATACAAAGTTTTTTCAAGCTTCTGTGAAATCTTCCAGAGTTAAAAATTCTTTGAGTTTTTTACTGGATGAGAATGGGCAGGAACAATCTTTGAACAGAGAAAAAGGAAAAATTGCTACTGGGTTCTTTGAGACTTTATTCTCTTCTTCTTATCTCTCTAGTATGAATGGTGTCTTGGAAGGTTTTCAGTCTCGGGTTTCATCTGTCATGAATCAGGATTTGACTAGAAATGTTACAGAAGAGGAGATTCGGAAAGCTGTTTTTGCAATTAATGGAGAAAAAGCCCCAGGGCCAGATGGATTCACTGCTTTATTTTTTCAGAAACACTGGGATTTAGTCAAGCATCAAATAATGACTGAAGTCTGTGGATTCTTTCAAACTGGAGTGATGCCAGAGCAATGGAACCATACTCATTTGTGTCTAATCCCTAAAATCAACAATCCTCAGCGCATGTCAGATATACGGCCTATTAGCTTGTGCTCGGTGCTATATAAGATTATTTCCAAAGTTCTAGTCTCAAGATTGAAGAAGCACTTGCCAGGTATAATCTCTCCAACTCAATCTGCCTTTGTAGCTGAGAGATTAGTTTCTGATAATATTCTAATTGCGCATGAGATAGTGCATAATTTGAGAACTAATGATAGGCTTTCCAAGGAGTTTATGGCTTTCAAAACAGATATGTCTAAAGCCTATGATAGAGTTGAATGGGGTTTCTTACAAGAAATGTTGAAGGTTTTAGGTTTTAATGAGAGGTGGATTTCATGGATAATGGGATGTGTGACTTCTGTTACTTATTCAGTCTTGATTAATGGGCAGCCTTTTGGACATATAACTCCAGAAAGAGGAATTAGGCAGGGAGATCCCTTATCTCCTTTCTTATTTGTGCTGTGTACTGAGGCGTTGATCCATATTCTAAATAAGGCTGAACAAGAAGGAAAAATTTCTGGTGTACAGTTTAATCATGCAGGACCTTCAGTGAATCATTTGCTATTTGCGGATGATACTCTCTTAATCTGCAAAGCTACAAAAGAGGAATGTGAAGAACTTATGCACTGTTTATCCAGTTATGGCCATCTATCAGGGCAAGTGATCAATTTAGAAAAGTCAGCGATAACTTTTGGGGCTAAGATTGAGGATGAAACTAAAGAGTGGGTTAAATCAAGATCAGGTATTAGCATTGAAGGAGGTACTGGAAAATATCTGGGATTACCTGAATGTATGAGTGGATCCAAAAAGGATTTATTTGGATTCATTAAGGAAAAACTCAATGCTAGATTAACAGGGTGGTATGCTAAAACCTTGTCTCAAGGTGGAAAGGAGATACTGTTAAAATCTATAGCCATGGCTTTTCCAGTTTATGCAATGTCCTGTTTCAAAATGCCTAAGAGTCTGTGTACAAAGCTGACAAGTGTGATGATGGATTTCTGGTGGAACACAATGCAACATTCTAGAAAAATACATTGGATTGGATGGCAGAAATTATCGTTGCCCAAGCACTTAGGTGGGTTTGGATTTAAAGATTTGCAATGTTTCAACCAGGCGATGTTAGCCAAGCAAGCTTGGAGAATGGTGTTTGATAAAGATAGCCTTCTATCTCAAATCTTTAAAAGCAGGTATTTCTTGAACTCTGAATTTCTCAATGCACCTAATGGAACCAGGCCTTCTTATGCTTGGAGAAGCATTCTCTTTGGTAGAGAATTGTTGAGTGCAGGTCTGCAAAGAGTGATAGGCAATGGTCAAACAACGAGTGTCTGGATAGATAAATGGTTATTTGATGGTCACAGACGAAGACCAATGAATTCTCAGAATTTGATTGATTTAAAGCTGAAAGTGAATCAACTTATTGACCCGATTTCTCAAAACTGGAATCTGAATATGCTAAGGGAATTATTTCCATGGAAGGATATTCAGCTGATCTTGAAATTGCATCCATTACTAGGAAGAGAGGACTCTTATTGTTGGGCTCTTACAAGTAATGGACTTTATTCTGTGAAATCAGGATATGATTTGATTAGCAGGAAAGTGCATCATTCCCTGTTTTGTGAAGCTGAAACCAATCCATCATTAAATCCTCTGTTTGTTAGTGTTTGGAAGATGAAAACTGCTCCAAAAATAAAAGTTTTTCTTTGGAAGGCTTTGAGAGGAGCAATTGCAGTAGAAGATAGGCTAAGAACAAGGGGAATTCAGATTGAGGATGGTTGTTTGATGTGTCAAGAGGCCAATGAATCTATTAACCATATTTTATTTCAGTGTCCTTTGGCCAGGCAAGTTTGGGCTATGTCACTTCTGCAATCACCAGGGAATGGTTTTGGGAATTCAATCTTTTCAAATATGGATCATGTCATTCAAACGATGCAAAATCAAGAAACTCTCCAGCACTTAAGGAATGTTAGTCCGTGGATAATGTGGTTTCTTTGGAAGAACAGGAATAAACTTCTCTTTGAAGGAAATGGGGCATTGGTTCAGAGCATTGTAGAAAAAGCGTATGAGGATTGCAATCAATGGAATGTGGCTCAGAGTAATGGGGGTTCCTTTCTGGGGTCTGTTCAAACAGTATTAAAGAAATGGCTTCCGCCAAAAACTTCAGAGGTTAAATGCAACATTGGATTCGCGTGGTCAAGACAGAAACAGATGGCTGGAGTAGCTTGGGTGGTTCGGGACTCATATGGCACAGTGTTACTTCATAGTAGGAGATCATACTCTCAGGTTCTTTCTCTCCTTGATGCAAAATTGAAAAGTTGGGAATGGGCTTTATATAGTATGGTACATCATAAGATGGAGAATGTCTTATTTGGAGCCTCAACTTATGAGATTATTCAAGCTTTGCATAAGCCAGAAGCATGGCCTGCCATGTTAGGACACATAGAGGATCTGATGAGAATCTCAAAAAATAAACCAAACTGGTTTATGGTGTTGGAACCTGTTCAGTGTAATAAGGGTGCTACTGAAATAGCTAAGAGTGTTATCACTGGGTTACGATGGCAATCATATGTGGCTAGCAGCTATCCAAGGTGGTTGGAAAAACTATTTCTTGAAGAAAAAGGGTAAGGGGTGAAGTGGTTTATTTTCTTTTGCTTCTGTTGAGTCTAGGTTATAGGTTTTGTCTTTTCTTTGGTCATCTTATTTTTCTCGTTTGATTTTTAATCTTGGGGTGATAAATTTCTTTTGTTTTTTTCTACTTTTTCTATTAGTGGCTTCTCTTATCACCTTAATTTACGTTTTTCATCATTTCAATCCTTCCTCCTCCTTATCTTCTTTTACCGCCTTTCTTTGGTCAACATTTGGTAACTTTTTTAAATTTATCTTCCTTTTTCTTCTTCTTTTCTTCATTATATATACCTACCTTGTCTTAGTTTTAGAATCACTTCTCCCCTTTCTTCTTTTCTTTTCCCTAATGGCGGATGAGTTGTGGGATGAGCTTCAGAACTTGGCTCTGGGCCGAGATGATCCAGAAGTGTTTATCCCTGAAGAAGTGTATGCAGATGCTGTAGCTAGTAACAGGTTAAGTATGATTGCGCGTCCCTTAAATCCAAGAGCTCAAAACTTATTCTCTGTGGTCTCTTCTTTACCAAGGACTTGGGGTTTAGATTCCAGAGTTCATGGAAGGGTTCTTGATGGGAATTATGTTCAGTTCTTATTTCAATCTGAAAGTGATCTTATTTCAGTACAAAGAAGGGCACCATGGGTTTTTAACAACTGGTTTGTGGCTGCGCAAAGGTGGGAGGACATTCCAGAGGTTGATTTTCTTACATCAATGGAACTTTGGGTGCAGTTCAGAGGTATACCTTTGCCTTATGTGTGTGAGGGTACTGTTAGACTGGTTGCTGAAAGAATTGGTGAAGTCTTACTGGTGGATTATCAAGAATCTACTACTCCTCAAATTGCCTATATCAGAGTTAGGATTAGAATTGGTCTTACTGCTAGGCTGAGGTTCTTCCAACGAGTAATGTTTGATTCTGGGGAGTCTGCTCTTGTCAGAATTCAGTATGAGCGTCTAAGGAGAATTTGCAGTAACTGTTTAAGGATTACTCATCACAGGACCTACTGCCCTTATAGAATTCCCTTACCAGATCAAAGAGATGATGATGATGAAGAGCCTAGATTGGAGAGGGAACGCTGTGCTTTAAGAGATGATCTTCATAGGTCTGATCTAAACTCTCAATCTCAAAATTCTGAAGCCTCTTTTCCAGCCCCAATCTCGCCTCCACCAAGAGTTGCTGCTCCGCCTCCTAATGCTGATGAACTTGCAGCGGCTATGCCTTGGCTACATAGATCAAGAGGTGATCATATACTGGATTATGAGACACCTATTCCCCAATCTGCTTCAAGAATTCATCAGTTATCTACTGGTTCTAACTCTTCTCCAAATATGGATTCTGATGTAACTTCTAAACTTGAAGTTGAGTCAACAAGGGATGAAGTTGGAGAAGTATCTAAGAGATATGAATTGGGAGAAACATCTCGGAGGTTTGAACAAGGTGAATCATCTCACAGATTTGAAGGTGGAGAATCTTCAAAACGCAAACATGGTGAAGTCAATGAATCAGTCAGAAGAGACCCAAAACAAAAGGGGAAAGAGCATATGATAGGAGGGATTCTGAAACCTCCTAAGAAGCGTTAGATCTTTCACTCTATAAAGTTCTGTCATGTTGTGTTTTCTTTTGTTGTTGTTTGCTTAAGTTTTCAGGTAGTTGCTAAGAAAGTTGATTAAGGGGATATGCTCTTAGAATTTCTTTTTGGAAGAGCTTCCGAATAGCTGGTTAACTAGTTTGGTTAGGTTAACAGGATGGTTAGCAACTTAGTCTCATCTTTGTTTCTTTTAATG